CTCCAGAACGGTAAGTTGGACCACAGGTAAGTTGAAGTATACGACCTCCTAAACGCCATTTCAGTCTTTTGGAAAATTCAAGAAACCTGCAGTTTGATAATCGGGTTTTTCCGCAATAACTTAAATGATAATACAGATGAGGAAAATCTACAGATATAAATTAACAACAACTTCTAAATACAGTAAAATAAAAATGCATTTAGCATTTATTAAAGTACATTTCTCTGCGTGTCCTAATATCCCGCCCATAACCACCGTTTTCGTAGGAAAACATTTAGGTTGTAGGGATTAATGAATGGGACTACATAAGCTACTGTTGCGGGTTTTCACATTATAAATATTGAATTTAGGCTTTCTTGCCTCTTGGTATTGGCCTCAGTGCAGTACTTTCGCCCGAAGCATGTTAGTACTCAACGTATTCCCGTCTATGTACATGAAATGCTCACCTTCCCCGTAATTGCAGGTATTCCAATCAGAACCACAATGGAAAACAGTCTCGCTGTGCATCACTGTGCCCTCATACAGAACCTGATGATCAAAGCGCGGGCAGCTGTCCGCGACCTAGATCCGACCAATGATCTCACATTTCTACGTCTACGGAGTAAGAAGAATGAAATTATGGTAGCACCGCGTGAGTGAACTTACTCTTTGTCAATTCTAGAGATGCTGTTTTTCACAAATATACTTAGCCTGGATGCGTAAATAAAATAAGATACCCACGTGCGATAACATTTCAATCTTCATTGGCTTGGCAGTTCACTTTCGTCGGAGTTACTGCTGGGCCTGGCCCTTCCCACTGGTCGAGTCATGGTTCTCCGGCCCACAGTCCATCAACAAGCACAATGATTTGCCGTTCCCATACTGCGGACCGAGTCATTGCCTGAGTAAAAGAATCAGTCGCGTAGGAACAGCAACGACTCTGCCGACAGCGAGCATAATTTTCGCGCAATTATCAAGTCCGCATGCGACACGGAAAACGAAATCGCGGTAATTAATGAGTGGAAAGAGAAGTGTTAAGCCAGTACCACATCAATTAAGACCCCACGTGGTAGTTGCAGGAGGTGATAATTATGGTACGCATGTGGATGACCGCTACGCGCTATAAATGCCGTGCAACCTGTTTGTGTTTCATCCCTATCTGCACATGATTCAGACTGCGTTCTCACTACCTATGATTAAGATTTCCTGACGGAATCCGAAACGTCAGTG